GCCAAGGTGTGAGCCGGGCCGCTGAAATCGCCGGTGAGGCTTTCTCGGCCCTTTGACAACCTGTGAAGTGCTACTTCCTTTGTACTTGCTTTTGCGCTCGAGTCTTGCTGCAGACACCCTGGTCTTGCGCTGCTGCTCTTGAGCTGCGCTGCCGTGCAACAATCAAGTCTTGTAGACCTCAGGGTCTGCTAGATTTGATTTCCGTAGACAGTGGTAGCTTGTTGTCAGGCTCTTAACTCCGTTGTTTCACGTGTCACAAGAGTGAAGGTGAACCTGGACGGACTTCGGCTTCCCAGGCCTTTCACCATGTATAGTGTTTGCTGCGCACACCTAGGAGTATGTACAGCCATCTCCTTTGACTGGTGTTACAGGGGATGCCCAGTAGCTTCTTTGCGACGAGACCGCTGGCGTTGAGGACTCAACTTGTTGGGCCTTGGCGTGTCAAAGTCCGAAGCGAAACAACAGGCAGTCTCGGCTCAAGCGCGGACTCCACGTGTCCGGGACTGGAAACTGCTCTAGTGGGGGGGCAGGCTAACAGCGCTTGCAGGTGCGGAGCCATGGCTCCAAGTTCTGGAGGCGAACGGGGCCTAAGGTCTCTTTGTGCGTTTGAAAGATGGATGAAGAAAGAGTTGCGAGCTATGGCTCAAACTGGGGAAGCCGACCTCATCCCACTGTGGGGTCGTAGACACGGGGAACAATCTCTGAAGCAGATTGTGCAGAGGGCTTTTGCGAAAGATGAGCACACAGTTCGTGAGGCCACGAGCTGGTGTGCAGAGGCGAATTTTGACAATGTTGGATGTGGCCGGCGTAGCCGGCGTCTGTGGTTGCACTTGAACATGCAGAAGCAGATTTTCATGTCACGGCACGCATCTTCACTTGGGCTTGCGAACTATCATGGTTGCAAGTTGTGGAGCTGTGCTTGGATGAGTGGCTTTTCTTTTGGAGCTGTTTATCCGTGCGAGCCTGTTGCCAAGCAGCAGGCGGAGGGTGTTGAACGGAACTGTCCGACCATTGAGCAAGTCACAGCGGCCTTTCTTCATGAAACCGAACCAGCTGTGGGTGCAACGGATGGTCCCGATGGTTTTTCAGAGCGAGACTTTCACGGCTTGCAGGCTTTGCTTTCGCGCTTTGGTTGCCCGTGCAGTGTGGTGCAGCATGAGCCTTTACCATGCAGTGTGGTGCAGCAAGAGCCTTTCCCTTGCAAAGTGGTGCAGCAAGAGCCTTTCCCTTGCGTTTTGGTGCAGCAAGAGCCTTTCCCTTGCAGGTCGGTGCAGCAAGAGCCTTTCCCTTGCATTTTGGTGCAGCAAGAGCCTTTCCCTTGCAGACTGGCTGGCGGGGAGCTGTTTTCGTACGAGGTTGATTTTGAGCCTTGGGCTGCTGGCTTTTATCTTGATTCCACGTGGCGTTCTGCAGAACAGTGCTGCGATGAGGTGATCTTTGAGCCCTGGGCTGCTGGGTTTCAGGTGCAGTCTTCGCGTGCCCAGAGTTGCATCGTACAGCAGGCCTCACGCGGCGCGATCCAGTCATGCGGCAGTGCCACACGAGTTCTGAGTGCGAGTGATGAGCAAGACCCGCAGAGGGCAAAGAATTACTGTGACGGGCGCCCCACCCCTGGAGGGCTGCTCGAAAGAAGACCCGTGCAAGGGCAAAGATTTACTGCTAGCGGGCCGTCCTTCCCTGAGACGACGCTCGAAACAAGACCCGAGAAAGGGCCAAGATCTCACGAGATGAGCTTCCCGAATCCTTCCCCCGATGGGGCCCTGACCTTTAGCCCCCAGCGGGCTCCCACTAGTTTCCCTCCTGCCTCGCAGTGTGCTAGCCATGGCGTTGAGTCTGTTGTTGGTTGCCCTGGATTGCTTGCTGAGGTCCTTGCTTTCGACGACTCTTACTGCGAGGATGCTTCTGAGACCAAGGGCAGTTCCGAGGACAGTGCTTTGCATACATGTTTTGCTGGGTGCCTGGGTCTGTTTGCAGAGTCTTGTGCGTTTGACTCGGAGCCAGCTAGCGACCACCAGGTTTGCAGGCATGAGCTGCGTGATTCAACGGTGCAGTGCATGTGCAACCTCCGCCCCCTAGGGTTTAAGCCGCTCCCTCGTGACTCCTGTCCGATGCCAGGGTGTAGCTGTGCCGCCTGCCTTACCCTCCCACCTGGGTTTAGGCCCTCACCTCTAGGCACTTGCAGGGTTTGTGAGTGCATCCTAGGCTGTGCGTGCAGTCATGTGTCGCATGTCGGTGAGCGTACAGGCGTGGAGCTGAATGTACGTAGTTTTGCTGATCTTGTCAGTTGTCATGATCCCACGGTCGGCGCTCGCATTGGAGAGGCGAGTCATCCAGGACCTTTCACAGCATTCCAAGATGACAGTGCTTTGCAGCTAGCTCGAGGCATGAATGGGACCGACTATGTCAGTAAATTTCTCAACTCCAACCCGGATGCAGCACCGATGCTGGTGTCGGCGCTCTTTCGTGCAACAGCATGCTTCGCCAATCACCCCCATGGCGTTAGTGTTGTCAGTGAGCCTGTATGCCATTGCCGGGACTTAAAGCTCAGTTCGACTGTCGATGTGCTGGTGAGCTGCTTGAAGGGACCCTTGGCGCGCCTTACAGAGCACCGTTTCGACTGCAGGGTTGCACAGGCTGCCTTACGAGAGGCAACGCCAGAGCCTCAGCAGTGTTTTGCTTCGGAGCTCCAGGGCCCAGTCATCAGCATTTGCCAGCACCTTCATGCCAATTTCGCATTGCATTTGTGCTTTGAGCTGCTGGAACCTCATTTTGATGCAGTCTCAGTCGCAGTTCAAGTCTGTGGTTGCAGTGTCCTGCAGAGGTTGATTGAGCACTGTTCATGTGAGCCACCACTCATCGTTGAAAATGTCGGGAAACTGCTTGCCAAACAGGTCGACGCGATCCCATGCCCAAAGTCGCGGATCTCGGATGTCCCTCGTCGAGGCCTGAATGGGACCGATGTTGTCAGCAAATTTTTCAGTTCCAATCCCGATGCAGCGCCAATGCTGGTGTCGGCGCTCGTCCGCGAAGTAGCATACTTGGCCGGTCACCCCCATGACACTGGTGTTGTCAGTGAGCCTGTATGCCCATGCCAGGACCTAAAGCTCAGTTCTCTTGTCGATGCGATTTCGAGCTCATTGAAGGGCTCCTTCGTGCGCCTTACCGCGCACCGTTTCGGTTGCAGGGTCGCGCAGGCTGCCTTACGAGAGGCCACACAGGAGTCTCCGCAGTGGTTAGTTTCGGAGCCCCAGGGCCAAGACCTCAGCATCTGCCAGCGCCTTCTTGTTAATCTCGTGCTGCAATGGTGCATTGATTTGCTGGAGCCTCACTTCCATGCAGTCCCAGTCGAGGTTCATGTTGGTGATTGTCGTGTCCTGCAGCGGTTGATTGCGCACTGTTCATGTATGCCACTCCTTTTCCAACTTGTTGACCCCATGCCGGGCATCGTTGAAAATGTCAAGAAGCTGCTTGCCAAACAGGCCGATTCGACCCATTGCCCAAAGCTGCTGATCTCGGATGTAGCTTGTGTTGAAAAACTCGCCCGAAGCTCGAGCAAATGTCTTGACCCCAACCCCACTGCAGCGCCATTGCTGGTGTCGGATTTTCTCCCTGCAGTTGCATGCATTTCCAGTCACCCCCGCGGCGACGGTGTTGTCGTTGAGTCTGTATGCCATGGCCAGGACTTACAGCTCAGCCTTGATGTCGATGCGATTTCGAGCTCCTTGAAGGGCTCATTGGTGCGCCTTGCCAAGCACCGTGTCGGCTGCAGGGTCGCGCAGGCTGCCTTACGAGATGCAAGTCTGCGTGCAGTGAGTTTTGCAGAGCCTAGCCAGCAGCTACCTCCTCAGGTGCAGGTGTATCCTTGGCCNNCGTTTTCCGAGTCTGAGGTGATCTTCTTGCCTTCCGAGGTTCCTGAGGTGCAGGTGCCTTGCAGCCTCCTTGAGGCTCCTGTCAATGCAGAGGTCCCAGGTGCCGAAGGCCAGGTCACAGGTGCCAAAGGTCCCAGGTACATTGCAGAGGTCCGTGAAGAGGTCTCAGGTGCCAAAGGTCCCGCGTGCATTGCAGAGGTCACAGGTGCCAGAGGTCCCAGGTGCAGTGCAGAAGTCCCAGGTGCCAAAAAGGCAACGCCGGAGTCTCTGCAGTGGCTGGTTTCGGAGCTCCAGGGCCAAATCCTCAGCAGTTGCCGGCACCTTCATGCCAACTTCGTGCTGCATGTGTGCATTGAGCTGCTTGTGCCTCACTTCGATGCAGTCTCAGTCGCGGTTCATGTTGGTGATTGTCGTGTCCTGCATTGGTTGATTGAGCTCGGTTCTTGTAAACCTCAACTTACCCAACCTGTTGATTCCATCCTGGGCATCGTTGAAAAGGTTGAGAGGCCGCTCACCCAACAGGCCGAATCGACCCTGTGCCCCAAGCTGCGTAGCTTGGATGCAGCTTGCGTTGCAAGGCTCGCCCGCAGCTTGAATGAGACCGATGTTGTTAGCACATGTCTCGGCCCCAACCCCAATGCAGCGCCAATGCTGGTGTCGGACTCAACCGCATTAAAAAATGCCAAACTGCATAGCCTGAAGGGCAAGACTGCATTTTGCCAGATTTGGCAAAGATCTGGCAAAATCACTTTGGGCCAATTGACCCCTCAATTTCTCAGCTCCAACCCCGATGCAGCGCCAACGCTGGTGTCGGCTGTTTTCCCTGAAGTGGCATGCTTGGCCAGTCAACCCCACTACGATGGTGTTGTCGCTCAGCCCGTATGCCATGGCCAGGACTTCAAGCTGCGTTCTGCTGTCGACGCGATGTTGAGCTCCTTGAAGGGCTCATGGGTGCTGGTTTCGGAGGTCCAGGACCAAACCCTCAGCAGTCGCCAGCACCTTCATGCCAACTTCGTGATGCACCTGTGCATTGAGCTGCTGGAGCCTCACTTTGATGCAGTCTCAGTCGCAATTCATGTTCTTGGTAGCCGAGTCCTGCAGTGGTTGAGTGTGCACGGCTCATGTGAGCCACAACTTATCCAGCTAGATGACTCCATGCTGGACATCTTTGAAAACGTCGAGAAGCGGCCTACTGTTCAGGCCGATTCGACCCTGAGCCCAAAGCCGCGGATCTCGGATGTAGCTTGCGCTTTGCAACCGGCCCGCAGCCTAGGTAGGACCGATGTTGTCAGCAATTGCTCAGCCCTAATCCCAATGCAGCGCCAATGCTGGTGTCGGCGCTAGTGCGTGAAGTGGCACGCTTGGCCAGTCACCCCCATGGCACTCGTGTTGTCAGCGAGCTTGTATGCCATTGCTCAGGCTTAAAGCTTCGTTCTGATGTCGATGTGCCGTTGAGCTGGTTGAAGGGGCCCTTGGTGCTTCTTAATAACGACTGTCTCGACTGCAGGGTCGCCCAGGCTGCCTTACGAGAGGTAGCGTCGGAGACTCAGCAGTGTTCCGTATTGGAATCCCAGGGCCAACGCCTCAGCGTCTGCCAGCACCTCCGCGCGAACGTCGATCGTCTCGCTTACCGCATGCCATCCTCAGCCGACTTAATCGTGCGCTCGGCATCTAAGGAGCCTGATGTTCTAGAACACCGTTTTTGTCACGAGAGCGGGAGTCTGGCGGCACGGCGTGAT